TGACAAGTTTTCTTTTCTTTGGGATGATAATAGATTTTCTGCATCTTTTTATCTTCGAATCTAATTTAAAGAACTTTTCTTTCGGGTAAAATTTATCTACTAAATATTTAAACATATAAAAATATGAATCATGATATAAAACAAAACAAAAACACTAGGAGTGATCTTTAATTGACTTTTTGTTTTATTTTATTAATAAAAGCATTAAAATTTTATTTGAAAAAAAAAGAACTTTGATTGTTGATGTTGCTAGATTATATAAATAAATGAATAAATTAAAAAGAACATGTCATATTTTGTAAATGCCATGATTGTGAATCTCGTCCAAGAGCACAATATTCGCTATCAAGTCGCATTATTGTACCATCAAGACGAATACGATTATTGCACTGTGATACAGCTTTTATATTCCATACATTTGATGAAAGAATATAATCGTTTCCTTGACTATGTTCATTACCATTATCAGGTGTAAGTGTAGCTGAAAGTGTAATACTAAATGAAACATTTTTACGTTCATTTAAAACAACAACATCAATAAGAAATATATCATTAATCGTTCCTTTAAAAAGACCTGTTTTCCAATTAAATTTTGGTAAATCTTCTAATTCAGGTCCTAATTCTTGTGTCATATCAGTTGTACGTATTAATTCAATAAGAGGTGTATTAGAAAATTTTAATCGACAATTAAGAAAACGATGTCGAAGAAATATTGTTGTCATATTTCGAAAACAAATAAAAACCGATACTTCAAGATCATTTAATTTTGGAAAATGATTTGGAATGATCATTTGAGATAATGATTTATTTTTATTAATTGAATTTGTTGTACGAAGACCAGTAAAAAAAAGTTCATGAAAAGATAAATAATTTATATTACAAACAATAAAAGCAAATGATTTATCTTGTTCATAAATAGCTATTAAAAAATCATCTTCATTTGATAATTTCGATATACGTATTGGTGATTTAACATCATTTGTTAATGATATAGATTTTGTTTTAATCGAATTCCAATCAAATATATATTCATGTAATAAAGATTGAATTTTTTGTGTATGCTGAATAGGTTTTTGTGTTATATCAGATAATTGTTCATTTGTTTTTGGTAAACGTATACGATTTGGACGTGTATTTATATCAATTGAAACAATAGAAAAAAGACGAAGATAATGTACACGAGACAAAAATTCTGGCATTGTTATTTCAAACCAACGAATCGATATACTTGTATCAAAGAATTTGATTGTATCATATTTTTGAGACCATATTATATTATGTTTATCGTCACAAAATGCAAGAAGAAAATTAAATTGATCAGAAAATTTATTAAATGTTTTTTGATAATCAGGAATACCGGTATAAGATTTTAATATATCGAATTTAGTTGGAAAAAGAGATTTTAATTGAGTTTTTATTTGTTGATTTAAATATGTTTGTATACGTTGTTTACTTGTTGAATTTGATGATGCTTGATGAAGACCATAGGAAAGTACTAATGAACGCCAAAGACTTTCATCTTGTGAGATTGAATACCTGATAATAAAACAATAATAGAATTTTTTTTTAAATAAAAATAACGAAGATAAAGCGTTTACCATCGTCGGCAGACGGTACCAATATTGAATAGATCAATAGGTGTTAAATAACGAAAAATATATAGAAGAACATCATCAGGTAATTCATTGATTTCAATTTTTTTTGAAACCATATAACGAGGTTTTGTAGCATTAGGCAAAGGAAATATTGTTATTTTTTTAGTTGCTGTACTATTTATTGATTGATTAGAAGAAAAACTATGTCTGATTGATTTTGAACTCGACATTTTTTAAACTAAAAACTCTTGTGTATTTTCGTCGTACTCCATTTTTCTTTTGTTCATTCTCTAGCAATGACCCCTTCATATTCACTCTACAGATGTCACAAGTAAATAATAATACATTATAAAATATACGTTAGTATCTTTTAGTATTTACTAGTATTATCAAATTCAAGCAATCTATTTATAGATCGAACTTAAAAAGAATGTATTTTACAATTAAAGTGCACTCCACAATAGGTAGACTTTTACTTTAGAAAAAGACTTTTTTGTGAAACATAACATATGGGGATGATCAATAATATGTCTAGTTTTAAAATTCATCAACATAACTTGTCATTTCAACAAGTTTCTTCGTAATGTGTGATGAGTTTTTCGAAGACTGTAGTGAAAAAACTAATACTTAAATCCATAAATAAATTTTTAGCGCAATTCAGCTATGGTCTATCATCCTGGTCCAACTGGTAGCTAGAAAGTCATTTGATAAAATTAAGAATAAATTTTAATCATATGTAATATAATCATATTTCACACTGATGTCAGAAAGCTCTTCAGGTAAATATACAAAACAAGTTCTTACATTTTTTTCTCGCATACGCTTTTGCAGAAATTGTTAAAGGCCGGACGAATCGTTTTTCAAAATAACTCGTCCTCATGAATTGCAGCTTTCTTTTTCAATAGATAAATGCATCATATTTCGTATGAAGAAAAGATATGAATGTAAATGTTGTCCTTCGCTTCACCCACCGATAATCACATCCGAAACCCACACCTGAAACAAGGAGAGAGAAAATGGAAAGGAGTATTCGAATATATTAGAGATAAATGGAAAGTCTTACCAAAAATCGACAATACAAACTTGAAAGTCTCGTATAGAATACAGGTGAGAAAAAATCGTACATGTATTGTTGCTTTAACGACTTTTCTCTGTTGATGCGATTATCGCATTACAATTCTTTAGATTCTCCATGTAAGAAAAAAATTGCACAACTCCGATGACGGTTCATGGCTTATTGACGATGAATGCATATAGATAAAGATAAAGAAGCATAAATTTCAACTAATATTCATTCTAACGGCATATACTGTTCGAAACCAAGCAAATTTAATGTCTGATAAAGTTCGGCTATCTCTTTTGACATTAGCTGTTATGTTTATATTTCGCATTCTGATCAATCTCAACTTATAAACAAGTTTTTTTTTCAGTTCACAATGTGTGCACACGATTGAATGCAGTCACTGACGCATACTATTAATATCAAGTAAAATTTACTGTTATCATTGAGACAGATTTTGCATCATCTTCAAGACAACATTCAGTTGAACAAATGATTATTTGATTAATTTTACAATAGCATTATTCAAGTCATCTCAAAGAATTTAATTGAGCTTCCTTCTTTGTCCGCAATATTTTATTAAATAGAAAAACAAAATTAATTTGATTAAAAACTCATCGCAGTTTTTCTTTCCTACACCAGTTGTAGAAGAGACTTCTTTAGGTCGCTAATAGATTCCAAAAACTAAAAGACTAAAAGAGCTGTCAGATCTTTCGAGATTCTAAGAACACTCTAAACTTCTAATAGCTATAGAATCAACCGAATCACCCTTAGATAAAGTGAAGGAAATGTCACTTTTCGGCAATCGATGTTTTCTGAACAGAAATTTACTTAAAAGAAAATGGCTGCTTTATTTGATTGATGAAAAGATTGGTTGACGCTAAAAGTTCTCTAGTTTATAATTCTTCGTATATAGAAAGGAATTTTCTAACTTAAGAAAATATAAGACTTACAAAAATAATAAATTGGACATTTTTTATGAGATTTTAAATGATGCAATCGATTTTCTGTTGCTTCTGTAAGCACTTTAATTTGTGTCAAAATATATCTATTTTGCCGTTAGTTTGTACTTCCATCGATGGTTGCAAAGCACCCACTTTATTATTAGATAGTATGATTATTCAACATATCGTCTTTTATCGAGTGTTCCGAAAGTCCGTCGAAATTTAAATCAATGGGATATGTCTCAGTCCCTTTGTCTTACTGATTACGCTATCAAATTCTTTGAAGTTTTATTCAGTTTACATTTCAAGAATTGTCTGTCTTTAAAAATATTTGAATAAAAATATTCTTTTATGGCCTAATCGAATCATATGCAATTTTAAAACAAAATTTTTCGTCAAACTCGACAAAGAAAAAATCAACGGTAGACTTCAGTAAAAGTATTAAGAAGACTTATGTGAAACTGATGGCGTTACAAACCAGCAACATTCCAAATGACCTTTCAATAAGTCTAGAAGAAAATGTAAAGAAAAATTGTAATATTTAGCAAAATCTATCACGATTTTATGTTCAACATGCTAACACACTTTCATAATTTCTACGAACGATTGTGCACTCATGTAAGGCTCGATTTGTTTCATCAAAGTCATACTAGATGCAATTTAACTAAAAACTTAACGAAAATAGTTTACCACATCGGATAAAAAATCTGCAAAACTTTAATACCATTGGTGGAGGAAGTAAAAAATCAAAAGATTTCAGTTGTATTTATAATGAAATAGCTTTTCATTTCAATTAATTTATCAATAAATATAAAGTAAAAACTAATAGTTATATAGTTCTTATTGAGAATCAAGTTCAATTTGATATGTAATCAATAACAAATCATGGTTGTTCTTCTTAAGAAATATGTTAAAGAACATTTTTCAATAGCATCATTACTTGATTATTCACTAGAAGTTTAAAAAAACCAAAAATTTAATTATTCATATTGATATACGTGCCGGTATACCTATGGCTGATCTATTAGGTAATTGTGGCTGTTCTACATTTTAACGTATAGCTTTAATGGCTTGTTTGTATTGGGAAGAAATCTTTACCTTATTGATCACTTTCTTGATCAAAACTATCTTCGACAAGATCTATATTATCATGCATGAGATGACATCTCGTATATCTCACCTGAAGAAATGTAGAATCAAAGATTATCTATTAACTTTAATGTATTTCTAATTATAATTAGATGCGTTTTTTCAGTATCAAACATATATATCAATTTATTCATTATTTTTATTGATAGCATGTTTTTATTTTATCTTTTAAGAAACAATATAGAATAGTAAAATTGACGTGCAATTTATGAAAAAATTGGACGGATAATAATTGAATTATCAGACAAATTATCATTGAGAACTATTTGATGTTTCGGATTTTGCAATTTCAACAATCATATCACACATAGTTTTATGTTTAGGCCAATGTTTAACTTGACATTCACTGAAAAGAAAAAAAAAAAACATTTCAAGATATAAAATTATTTACATAATTATCGATTAGCCAGAAAATTCGAAAAGTAAGTGTTCACATACATAGTAATCGTTATAGTATATTTCTGATATTCATAAAATTAAGGCTTTATCTGAAGATCATTATCTGCACTTGATTATTTTGGTATAGAGAAATAATCCTCTCCATATTCGAAATCTAGGAAGGTCAAAACAACCTCCAGAACTTTGATGATTACAATTAATGTGAGTTTTTGTCTTCAACGACATACTGTTTATAATGCGCTCCACTTCAAAAGTCAATCTTGTGCTAGGTATATTTAAATTGCATAAAACTTTCAGAATATGCTGGGACTGAAGTGGCGAGACTGTGCTAAAATTGTCAGCTGTATACTATCATGTTTTTGCGGGATATTCATCAAGCAACGTGCTCTTTTGAGCAAAAAACAAAGCTACATTGGCTACAATGCAGTTTTTTCGAGATTTCATGAATGTACCATCATAAAAAAATAGGCAGAAAAAATGAAAAAATTTGCCACTGTTTCTCATCAAAAGCACATTTTTCAAGCACAAGGTGACAGAAATCATCGAAAATATTTGGAAAAAATGACGTGCCGAATAAAAACTCATATGGGCTATGAAAGATTCGACCTCAAACTATCCTTTCAGACATTTGTCTTAATTTCGATAATTCTGAAAAAAGGACTCTTTCAAAGAGAGAAAAGGGCTTAAAATGAGTCATAACATGTTTAACTTTATGAAAAAAATAGAATAACGTCTCAGATATTGAATAGCGATTTACAGGTACCGCTCTCCCTTCGTTTTCGGGGTTTCTGAAGAATGGTTTATCAGAATATTTTGAAATCTTCAGAACAGACAGTTTTGGTGAGTAGAACAAAAGTTGTTCCGTTCCTCTGAGATCACCTTTCCAATCAAGTTGAAAACTTCTTTTTATAGGTATTAAACATTGTTCTGGAGTATATATCTTTTTATTTCTTTTTCTTGGAATAAAAAGCTACAATATCGAAGGTACTTCAGAAAACGCATGGTTTTTTTTCTGAATAGATCGTTTTTGTAACAATGACCAAAAACCGGTAGATCAATATTTTTGAAACAAAACAAAAGAATGTCCATCTCAAACAGTTTAGTAATTCTGGAAAAGTTTCAGCACGATTGGACATACTAGGTTGGAGCTATGAAGGCACTTTTTATGTTTGATTTTCATGAAAAATTTCGTCAATGCACAGTTTTCGCTATTTCTATTACCTAAACTTGATTTCTTCGCAAGTTTTTAATATGTTTCAATAGAATTTTGAGGCTCGAAAGTCTACTAAAGTAGATCAATATTACTTCAGACTATAGAATAGCCACCAACTAGAGCAAGACTTTGGGATCCTAAAGAGGTGCCACCTTCAAGTCGATGCATAGATCAATAGCAGCAACCAAAGTTTTACATTGTAAGAAAACGATGGTTTAATATAAATAGATGAAGTATATTTTTTCTTGAATCATTAAAAATTTTTCTCGCAAAAGATTCAATTCAATGCAAATTTAATAGTATAAGTAAAGAATTTATTTCTTCTCAATAAAACAACAATTCGAATTTCTTACCGTCGACAGTACCATTCACGTTGACAACGTGAACAACGTTTAGTAGCTTGTTCACCACAAATAGCACATTTAGGTGCGTCGTTAATAAATGTTTCAAGTATATCAAAATTCATTGTATTTGCCCAACTGTGTTTACAAAAAAAAAAACAAACAAATAAATAAGTACATAAATATATGTAACGATAATTTAAAAAGAAACAATCTCTACCGTGCTGCTTGCTGTCGTGCTTCAACTTCACTTGGATTTAAAACTGTTTTAGCTTGTATTTCAGCTATATTACGCCACTGATTTTTATATTTTCGTATTATTCGATCATATAATTCAGCAACCTAATATAAATCAAAAATGATGTTCTGTTTTGTTTTTTTTTCTAGTTTTCATAAATTCATTTATTACTTGTTCTAAAACAAGTTGTTTTTTAACAGTCGGTGGTTCCATAAAACTTAATTGTTCAAGAAAACGTTGTAATTGTATAAGATGAGGCATTTGATCAAGTATAACTTCATTAAGATGAGCACGTAATTTAGTTATACGATTTTTATTATAATCAGTATATTCATATTTTTGTAAACAATGTGGACTAAGTAATAATTGATACAGAGCTAACCAAACTTGTCCTTCTATTTTCGGTATTATATATCGATCTTCAATTGATATTGTTTGCCATTTTCCTTCAATATGTCGCATTAATGTACCTTAAAATAATCATTGAAATTATTTATTAAAAGTTAGGAAAAAAGAAAAATAATTAAATATGTCACCATCATTAAGTGTTTTTTCCCATGGTTTGGTTTCAATAAAATCAACAAGTAATAAAATAAAATCAAAATTATCAAGTAAACGTGTTGTTACACTGATTGGTAATCTTAAAATAACCAAAGAAAAAATAATTCATTACAAAAATCAACACTAATTATTTAACATACTTTTGTAAACAATCACAAATATATCGAACAATACTTAACATTTTCATTCCCATATCAAATCGAAGAGTTTCTTCTTGTGTAAGAAGTTCCTACGAGAAAAAAAAGTTTTGTTCGCTTAAAAATATAGTTATAGCTATAAATATTGCTTACTTTAATACTTTCAGAAATATCATTTAATGAATTATCATTTTGATTTGATTGTTTTTGACGACTTCGTTGTTCTCTAAATTGTTGAATGTTTGTAATGCAAAAAAAAAATCAAACCTTCTTTTATTCTTACTCATGTTTTAATTTTCGGATTATTTCAGTTAATAAACGATAACTATAATCAATAAGATCAAGTATTTGATCATCGAATGAAGTACAAACATCTTCATGATACATTAATGTTTCAAGTAAATTAACAATACATGCTTCATGATACAACTATTATGTCAAACAATAAAAATCAAATGTACTTTAAATAAATCAAGAGTTCATATTAACATACAATGATATAAATCGAAAAAGTAACACGTGGTTCGAATCGCATTGCAATAAGTTCACGAAAAACTTTTTCTCGCCAAATTTCAGTTGTTATTAATTGAGAAACAAGAACAGGAAGCTAAAACAAACTAAAACTTTCATATAGACCCATTTCATTTAATTAGTATTTCTAGTGAATTACTCTTCCTTATTTCTTTATATCTTATTAAAATGAAAATCAATGAAATTGAAAATTAAATTGTAATGTTTCGTCATATGAAGTTCTTTTCATCGAACATTGATTGATTATAAAGTTCTATATGTGTTGAGAACAAAACTGGAATTCGGCCAAATTCCGAAATTCTTTGAGAGAACTTCAAATTTTAGTTTTGGCCACGAAAAAATAAGAGTTTTAGTTCTATTTGGAAAAGTGAGAATTCTGAATAAAGGTAAACTCGTTCCATATTGGATGTGAAAAACGAGTCCGAATTGGACTCTTCCTATTCAAAATTTCTCTCCTTGTCAAAATGATGTCTAAAAGTCAAGGACACAATAATCTATGCGAGAAAAAAAATGCTGTACATCTGTTGTGACCAGTTTTAGTCACAGTCATTCACGAAACTGTCTCGTAACGACGAACTTATCGTAGTTTTCTCTTCCGTTTATCCGTGTATCTTCGAGTACTATAGGTCATTGTGAAGAAGGAAAAATTCTGAATACAAGAAGTCAAATAGAGTTATTCTTTCACATGTAACGTAAAAATTATTATCGAACAATCTTTTTTTCTTTGGCCATGTTCAAAGATTCATGCGGAACTCTACTCCTCATTCACCAGAAACATGTATCAGCATGATGGTAAATGACGATGATCTGCATGTCGAGATGCAGTCATAGGCATAAATTTAAAATACTTCGATTACGTCGTATCATGAATAAAGATTGCCGATTTCGATGTCATGAATATTCACTTGTATTTGTACAACCACCTAGCGCTTGGGAATGTCATTTTGTCGGACGAAAGACGCTCACTTGTTTATATGAACATTGTTCTTTAGCGCTCTTGCTTTTATAATCGCATGCGCGATCAATTGTTGAATCTACTTCGAATATTTTGTTTCCTTAGATTGTAACATATACGTCTATGTTTATACTGCTTATAGACACGACCAGTATAACTAAAATTTTCTCTTTATTCCCCATTCTAGACTAATTTTAGTAAAACACGTGACTATGTGAATTTATTTGCAGTCGAATTCTGATTTGATCCAGGCAGAATTGGAATTTCAGTTTTGCCCGGATAAATTTGAAATTTGATCTAATTTCGAATTAGTCCCCAACACACGTATGTACTTTTGTTTTTCTTTAGATGTTGTTATGATGTTTAACATATGATAGTAGGACGTCAATGGAGTGATATGGCGTAGTAGAAGAGATGGACTATTTGTTTACTTTCTCTGTCTCCCTATCATATGCTAAAGATCATAACAACATCTAAAGAAAGACAAAAGATCATACTTATATAAAACTTTATATTATATTAATGTCTAATGAAGGCAATTTTATAAATCGAAATGTTAAAACTTAAGTTTATATTTAAGTAATTTTCATTTTAATAAAATTTAAAGAAATAAGAGAGAGTAATTCACTAAAGATACTAATTAATTAAATATGTATTTCTTAATAAGCTATAATGAAATTCTTTTTTCTTTTATCAATAAACCATTTACCTTATCATTATTTACTATAACTTCTCGAACATATTCATGCGTATTCCGATTGGCATCAAGAATAGCTTGCATATTCAATTTTTCAATATATTCATGTTGTGTATGCCATCTGAAAAGATAAAACAAAAAAAGTAAGTATTAAACTATGTATTATAGAAATATCTTTATACCTTGGTTTTCCTATATCTTCAACTTCAAATGGTTCCAATGCTTCTACAAATGCATCGACTTCTGTCGAAAGTAAAACAATTTGATCATCACTCATCTAAAATAATAAGCAAATCAATAATGTCTTTTTTGATTTATTTATTTCACCAGTCTTTCAATGGAAAGAAAAAAAACTACATATTTTATATTTAAATTAGATCATTAATAAATAGAGTATTGACTTAGAGCACCGTACAAATAAGAATGTGAGTGAGAAAAATAGCAGCATCTATGCATTAGCTTTGTTGTTGCATTTGATTATCGACATTTTCGATTGTTGGATCTTGTTTTGGATCAAGATTTTCAATAGGATTTTGTTTATCATCATTATTTTTTGTTTCATCAATATCTTTTGTTGCACGTAATTCATTTTCATAACGTATTAATTGAAGAAAAAAAGACATATTTGGTGCAGCCATACGACGTCGTTCAAGTAAATAATCATAAGCTTTAAAAAGTGAGTCATGATGATATCTAAACAATAAAATAAAAAATTTAAAATCGAAATATTTTTTTAAATTTCTACTTCATTAAATAAGCAAGAACAATTGTTGATGAACGAGATATTCCCATTTGACAATGAACTAATACTTTTTCTTGTTTTTGCTTACAATTGTATAAAAATTCATTTGTTTCATCGAAATGTTTCTTTATATCAGCTTGAAGTTCATCATATAAATTAATCCATAAGACATTATATTTTTCTATGATTATTTTGTCTAATGGACAATCGCATACATTAACAATATGTCGAATATTAAGATGATTAAGTAAACCTATATTTGATGCATGACCTAGATCACCATGATACAGAAAATCATCAATAACAACTGATGGATAACTATAACCACTTCGGTCAGATGTTAATGGTTGACGTCGTTTTGTTCGCAGATCTACTATACGTTTAAGATAAGCTAATTCATCATCTGTTGCCTTGAATGTGTTTCGTAAATACTCTTCCATAACAACAACAGATGAACTAAATCCTACATATGATACTTGCTGATTACCAGGTGAAGTATCTGGCATCTGTTTTTTGGGTTGTGACTTTGTGATACCCGTTTTTGAAATCTAAAATAATACTATGACGAAAGCTATCATAATAAATTATTTAATATTAAAAACAAAAAAAAACTCTTATAACAATTCACATAAGTTCCTGTCATGATCTAATCATCATAACTTCGTTCTTCTCCAGACCATCGACAATATTCTATACAGTAATTGATCTGAATGACAATGTACACAAAACAGTGTGAATTGCATTGATCTATAGAATCACAAAATAGTGTCCTCCATGAGAGCATTCGACATTCGATATAATACTCGCTTGAGTAATACTCTTTACTATGATGTACTACAAACTTCTCAATAAATAACAGCTGGTTGTGCCATTTTTAATCACATTTACCGTCATACATGACAAATAAGGACATCTAAAAAAAGTATCAACATGGAACAAAACAAATTGCAACATTCATCATTGATATTCTCATGTGTATTTCTCTTGACAACAATAAAAGAATTAAGCATGAATGCATATAAGGTAACATTTTAATAGAACCAATCATTGAAGATGACTGGTCTAGATGGCATACATTGACAAACAAAATTTATTAATATGATTGTTGATCATAATTGATCGATTTCGAAAAATCATCTATAATAATTTCAACTCACATATACTTAATTATATAAGACTTCAATTTTTTTTTCGAGATTTTTTTAATGTGTAAATAAAAGTATTTCAAAGAAATACAATAACACAGAAAAGAACAATATAGGCAAAGTCAGTCTACACGTAATGTTTTTCCTCAAATAAACTTAAGTAAACTGTGAATATGTGTGTTTTTTTATTTTTGAAATTTCATAATCGTTTTACCTTCCACAGAGAACTATTTTCAACGATAACACAACTAATGTACTTATTCATCTTGACTTCGATCGTTTTATCAATGAATAACAATGATAGACTTTTTTTTGGTAAATACCTATGCTTTTTTAGTACAATACAATAATTTTCTGGTAAGTCAATATGTATTTACGATGTTCAAAAGAGATGTGCAACGTGCTTTTCTTATTTAGCAAGCGTGAAATGTATGCGCTTAACAGTAGCTGAAACAATGTTTTCGCGACTTTTTTCCTTTCATATTTGTTGTTGTATAATATTTCTTGAAACAACGGTGCTTCATCTCTTAATATATATGTAATAACAACAAAAAGTTGAATATACCCCGAAGGAATACTTAATTAGACAAGCTACAACCGAACATATAATATATTTACTGAACATTCATTTCTGTTTTATTTGATTTTCTCGTTAATTTTTGCTTAAATTTAAGTTTAAGATGAAATATTAACAGCGATATAATTCATAGATTTAACAAATGAGTATAAAATTGGATAATAAAAAAAATGGTATCTCAGAAAGAATAAGTCTGCCAATGATTATATTTCTTCTCTTAATTTTTCAGCATTTGATATACATTCCCTTTTAAAAATTCCTAACAATAGTTGAGTAGCTGGTATAAGTAAGGAGCGACTACTCAGTCATTGCGCTGCGCAGTTTCTTCAGTGACATGAGACCGTACACATATTTGGTATTCAACGAAGAATATTAACAGTCAGAAACGTGATACTTAAGGTAATTAAGAAAAAATAACAAGTCAAATTAATGTTGATGCTCAAAATTCGAAATACGGTTCGAACAAGTATATATGGATGAATCTAATTGCTTTCAATAATAATTCAACTCAATAAAGTCTTATCTCTACGAATTGCATTTATTTTTGAATTCTAGTTTTTTATGAGGAAATCAGAAATATTCATGTAGCAAAAAGTGTATGAAAAGAAAAGTTTCATTTTCTAATACTTACTAATACTTGCTTGTAGCTTACTTATAGAATAAGGTATTTTGGTTATTAGATAATCATGCTTTAATCTCTAGCCTATTAGTCAAATATCATCATAATATGATGTTTTTATATCATCACCATTTCTGTTCAATTCAACATATTTTATTACTAGAATCATACATTGATCTAATTTATTAATCAGCTACTGATAATAGAATATTTGACTAATGTTGTTCAGCTGTAACCAAACTAATGTATAATTTTTTAGTATTCGTAATTATTTGAATTATGTGGGGATTGTTGAAATACTGATTTACTTGAGAGAGTAATTTTCATGATGACTACATGATCTTATGTTTCATATGTTTAAAATTTAGCTACTCTGAAACCGTAAGTTTGACTGAGTAATATATTTGACAGTCATCCTTCAGTATTTGCTTATTAAAGTTCATGTACTTATACAACCCTTAATGTCAATTATTGAATAGCAGCTAGTTCAAAGTTTTCAATTTCTTGTTTTGGGTAAATACAATTTTCATTATAAATTAAAAATACGACATGAATAGATAATGATGCAATTCTTATTGAGCATTATTCACTATATATATAAGATTACTTGATGATAAAGACTCGGTTTAACTACATTCAACAGCATCAACAAGCAAGTTTCAACACTTTTTAGTTAATAGACTTAATCAAGCATTTCAAGTTACTTTAAAGCAGTCTACATATTAGGAAGATCTAATCAATCGTTTAGTACATTAGTTTGAGTTCGATCTATTGATGTTATTGTCCAGTCAGCAATGATATTTTTATAGATTAACTATAAACATCGTATATCAACGTTCTCAAAACTCATTAGAATGATGACATAATAGCAAATTTTTAACATGAATGTATGATAATACTAACAGATTCAAATTTTCTTCTCAACACATATGAGAGAATATATTCAACAGTTAAGCTTGGTTCAACTTCCTATTATAGTTACGGATAGGTGTTTGTGATAAAATGTTTAAAAGAATTCAGGCTTGTGGTCTACTGATTAACAGTTATGATTGTTTTAATGCAAACTTTAGGGAGAGTATGGTATTCATGGAAAATTCAAAATAAAATGTTTTGACGTGAAACTTTGTCAACTGGTAGATCTGATAGTCCTGAAAGTTTCAACAAAAATAAACATGTCTTTCTCAAGATATTCAAGCTCTGAAAAAATAGTGGATTACTATAAAAGGACACTATAATCGAGTCTCCTTGGATAGCGAATGTCTCGAGATAGACATGTTAGTTTTCGTTGAAACTTTCAAGTTTTTCAGACCAAGAATCTTTGATTTGGAGTTTTCGGGAATTCCTTGCTCTCTGTAAAATTCTCATTAAAACAACCATAACTCTATATCACTAGAGTGTCAAACAGTTGGGCATGTTCTTTCGTTTGAGTCATATCAGTTACACGTACTGTATACTAGATAATTGTATTTGATTAATGTGTTAATGTACACTCACTATTGTACATAAAATGTCTTTTCGCCTCTTTCAGTTGATATCACTGTCTACGCAGAAATGTGATCAAAACAATAGATCTAATGAATGTTCATCAGGTTACCGTGACAGAGTTACCAGAGACATAGATGAACTTGATGCATTCACTCGTAAATAGACAATGGTAGAAATTTTAACATTAGCAAACTATTAAACAATGTAACAATGGTAAAATAAATCATACGATAGCAAAAATCGTGATAGCGAAATAAATTGCCGTGTTCTCCTTTTTTAAAAGTGCAAAATTAATCACACATATCTTTCGTGATTTATAAGAACTCACTGCATACATGCACTATGAATCATGGCATACTTGCTGATAAGAACAGCACAAAAAAATAAAAAGATTTTCATTTGTTGTATTTTTCTTTTCTTCAACAAATGAATCAGCAATTGCACAATATAATCTACATTTTACGCTTTCAACACCACGTGAAATTTTATATCATATAAATTGAATGATTATGTGAGTATTATACTTCCTAGCTGATTGAAGACATGTCGTCAAGTATTTCAAATGAATATATAGGATATTTTCCTAAATTATCTCCAATAGCTCTTCAACAATTTTCTAATACTAGCCCGTATAGAGAATCAATACCAGTTGTTTCATTATTTCTGACTCATTATAAAGCATTTCCATGTTTATTATCTTGTTCAAGAC